CCAGACCACATCACACCATGCCCAGCATATAAAGCTGAGGAAAGAAGAGGGGGAGGTTAGAAGTGATGGCATCTGTCCTCCCAAGTAGCTGCTGCATGTGATGGAACCCAGTTGTCCTGGAGATGCCTGAACCATGGGAAGTGGTGACTGAATTCCTGCTCCACCTATTAAACTGTTTGTATCTCAAGCCACAAGTTTTTACACCCCTACCCTTCTTCTCTCCCCCCTCCCCCTGGGAGGGAACATCTGTATGGGGTTTAGTTACCAGCCAGGGTGAAACCACAACATCACCATATAATCCAAAGGGCAAAGTTTCTTACTGACTCTTAAGAGGGGAGAAAACTGAAAGCTCTTTGAGTTCCTAAGAATTAGAACTCTGCCTGAAATTGTATTTCCTGAGGAAAAAAGGTCAGCGTTCCACTTTCCAACGTGTACTGTACGAAGAGGGTCCCTCTTTTCCCCCAGATTAAATTCAGTTTTTATTTTATTACTTGTTATATGTACCCATACACCCAAAGCCCCAGGGGGCTCTCCTGGAAGGGAGGTGTTTCAGGCAGCAGTGTACTTTGTGCCTCTGGCCCTAGGTGGCACTGGCAGCTCACTCCAGAGGAACGCAGTGGCTTGCTCAGCGCAGAGGGGCTGCTGGCTCCTCCCTGCCTCTCACCTGTAGTCCACGGCTCTAGACTTACAGCAGCTATTTCTGTCACTTAATGCTTTAAAACTTTTATTCCCCCAACTTCACAGCACTCCACCACTTCAAGTAGTCTTCATTTCATGCAAGTGAAGGAAGTAAGTACTATTATCTTTCCTCCTTTATTTGGAGATGAAGCAAGTTGCCCAAGATGACACACTGAGTCAGGAGCCACCCGAAGCTGGCACTCCTCTCTTCCAGCCCTACCTGCAGATTTCCTAGATGATCCTGGCCTCAAAGATGTCCTGATTTTATTGTGGCAGACTTCAAAGAGCAGCAGCCAGTACACACTGTCCTTCCTGGCCAAGGCAGGCCCATGTCCCTCACGCCAGCAGAGCCTGGTGCACATCCAGCTCCTGCCAGCTGCACCTGGTGCAAAGGAGAAAGCTTTGGCCAAGCAGGGTGCTCTGCAGCACCCACTCCCTGCAAGGCACAGACCTGGAATTGTCAATATTGAGGATTTTCTGTCACCCTCCAGAAGAAGGGCAGCATTTGTACAGCTGTGCTCCCACAGTACTCCTTCAACACTCACTTTGTAAGACAAAAAGATGCAAAGACAGAAGCCACCAGGATGGGGAGAAAGAATTAATTTAGGAACATCAGAGGCTCATTAAGTACCTCCCCGTAAGTCAGTTCATCTCTTTTATCTCAACCTTCCCCTGGAAGTCACTGGTGATGACACAGAGTTAATCATCAGAAAGCAAGGTTTATCTTGGGTTTGCCCCAGTGAACAGCAGAGTGCCTCAGCCACAGCCACCTACATTCCAGCAGGATGGTTTTGGCCACCAGCAGCACTGCCCTCCAAGTACAACATCACTCCTCCCAAGGCACAGCCAGCAACACCACAACACACACCCCTCTGGGGACACCAGATACATCCCCTGTCTATGGGCATGTCTATCCCTCAAAAATCCCCCAGCACTGCCAGCAGCATCACTTGCTCCCACCAAAGAGGTGGTGGTGTCCCACTGGAGCACCCCTGGGCATAGTCCTGCTATAAAGCCTTCAAACCCCTCTCAGATGTTCTGCAAAGCCCAGCTCATTCCTGGCTTTGAAGCCAAACGCTGCTGATGGACCAGCAGGCAGGAGAAATGACCAATATTTTATCACTGTGATCCAGTTCAGCACCTTGCACACTCCCTTCAGGTTGCCACTCATGCCAACACGGCTGTCATTCAGCACCATTCCACCTCTCACAGTCACAACCCCAATATTCATCTTTCTGCTGATGTCAAAACAGGGTGTGAATGTTTCACCATCCACACTAGGAGAGGGGCTCTCCGTGGGAGGGCAGGTGGCATCCTCAGCCAGGACTCCCCAGCACTCAAAGGTTGTCCTGCCCCTGCTGGGACCTGGTCTCAGCACACCAACCAAGACAACGAAACAATGACCAGGGGAAAGATTAGAAGGTGAGGCTCAAGATGGGATGAAAAGAAGGGGAAAAAGAAAGAAAAGATAAACTGGTGGTCACACAGGACAGCATATTCACAGAACAGGAACACACAGACTACTTTTCAGTATGTACTTGTCAAAGGGCAACTTTTTTCCCCCCCTAGGAATTTGTCCCTCTTCTGCCCCTGGAGTATTACCAATACCTGCAATTCTAGTGAATATTTAATTTTCTTTTAATACTCTAATTTCTGGACTGGGAAGGCAATGAGAAATCAACTGCTAGGCCTTTTTTTTTTTTTTTTTAAATGAAGCAAGTTCAGCCAGCCAAAGGAACACACACACTACTTTTCAGCATGTACTTGTCAAAGAGCAACTTTTTTTCCCTAGGAATTTGTCCCTCTTCTGCCCCTGGAGTATTACCAATACCTGCAATTCTAGTGAATATTTAATTTTCTTTTAATACTCTAATTTCTGGACTGGGAAGGCAATGAGAAATCAACTGCTAGGCCTTTTTTTTTTTTTTTTAAATGAAGCAAGTTCAGCCAGCCAAAGAAGAAAGCAATGAGCACCTTTTATTTCATTATTTTGGAGGCCTGACCCTGTGAGGTTTACAGGTGTGAGTTTGGCAATAAAGGCAGTAGATAATTTACCTGTTTCATTTCTATAATGCTTTCTAGAAGAACCAGAACAGATATCATCTGTTCAACAGTTAGTCTTTATGGGGCCAGAAATCTGTGTAATTTGGCCCCAGCTCAGCCGTTGGGAGGCACGATTATCTAGAAATAGGACAGGCTTGAAGGCAAATTGAAGGTAACAGAAGGACACCAAAAATAAGAGGCCCATCTGAATAGGAAAGGCAAGATTCTGTCCCTTGATGCAGATCTACCTCAGTTACACGAGGATGGGTTCACTTCACAGTGCACTACAGGAACCAGCCAACAGTCAATCAACTCACTTTACTATTGTCCTGTAAGAAATATTGTTGAGCTTCCTCTGTTCCCATTCACTACTTCTCCACCAACAGAAGGCCCGAGTCAGAATGGTATTTTCTTCAGATGTTTGTAGTTAATAAACATTTAAATCTGTTCTCAGAGTCTATACACCATTAAAAAACACTACAAAATACCAACATTCCCTTGGAAGAGAATCCACTGCTCAAGAAGACGTGCACACAGAACCAGGCCTGCCTGCCTAGCTAAAAAATAAATGTATTTTAAAGTGTGCCATCTAACCTGCACCCTACTGCCTGTGCTGCCTACCTTGTGCAACTCACTGATGGGGACAGGGAGAACAGAGCAGTGGTTTCCACTTTCACCTCAGAGCAAATGCTTTAGCTTCCCAACTCATGCACCACATGATGCCTTTAAGTTTGGCACTGCAAGCAGCACACAACCAGAATTTTCTTTAACTCCTGAGACAAAGAGGAACTCAAACATATTTGACATCTGGCCTCAGAGACCTGTGGAGTCCTGTTCCTCACAAGTGTAACCTTCTTTCAAGAACAGCTTCAGCTTATCAGAAATCCAGATGAGTAATACTGATGACAAACCAACACCAGAGTTTTCAGAAGAATTAGTAACTAGTTCTTGCCAACCATCAGCTCCCATGAACTGCTCACTTGGCCATGATTAACATTGCTTACAAGGTTGCCATCAAACTGAAACTGAGTCAGGGTTCTAAAAATTATTTCAACGCTGTTCTGGCTACTAAAGTGGCTCCCAAGTCCCCCCTGCCAAACCACATGTTCTTCACAAGAAGGTGATGCTTCCTCCCTGGCTTCCAGAAGAAAAGGCACCACTTGCTGTGATAACAGACAACACCAACCAGCCATACAAAGGAAATCAGGGGTTACTTCATGCCTCTGATGGCTCACTGCAGATTTAAAAGATCTGTGAATATGCAAATGCATTTCCTTTATCTCAAATGATTTCATTTTAGGTACTTGTAACAATCACAGCTAGCATTTTTTGGATAGAAGTGTAGTTCTGGAATCACAGCATCCATTTCAGAGCAACATTCAAATTAACCTAGCCTATTTTTCCAACCCTGACCCCCCTGCACAGGCACTTCTCCTGAGGGTCTGGTTGAAACTAACTGGGGAAAAAAAAAAAAAGCAGGTAAGTTTTCAGCCAGATGAGCCCCTCGAGACCTGTTGTCTTGAATTTGGCAGCTCCCTGAAGAACACAAGGATGGAGGAAACATAGGACTGGGATGGAAAGAAAAGTGAGATTCTGGATTTAAAACTGGTGTGAACCATTATGGGATGGCATTTTCCATTTGCAATCAGGCAAATTTTTTTGCCAGTGAAATGAAATGAAGCTGTAAACCCAATGGTTGACTGGGGACAGGCTTTAGAGTTCTCAACCATGATTTGGTCTTCAGCCTTTGGCTCTGTAATAACAGATCTTGACCACTCTAGGTCTTTGGGGGGATCATTTTCCTAATATTTCCTTGCCATGTTAGTGAAACAAACATTGCATTTTACTGTTCCTTACTGGATCAGTGTTTTGGATCCAGCAAGCAGTGACTGCAGCTTCACAAAACAATAGTGGTGAAAAAACTCCAGGATATCAGTAAATCTACGGCAAGCCACAAGTATCTCAAGTTTTTGTACCCCATGTGATCTCCATTCCTTTACTCTCCAGTCCCCTCCAAATTACAGCAGCAAACAGGAGCTGAACTCCCAAACAAAAATACACTACATAAAACAGACTGGTTTTGATTATTTTTAGACCCTGCTATCTTAAATTTATGTTCTCTTCTTTTTTAATACCGACAAATATAACCTCAGCAAAAGACCAACTCTAGGGAGCCCTGAGAGTGGCCCTCAGAAGATTTTCCAGCAGTTGCCTGTACTGCTCAGAGGCTTCCCTGCAGCCCCGGGAGGAGGAAGGTGGTGCGAGGGACCCCTACTCACCGCCTGCAGCGCCCCCTCCTGCCTCCTGCTCTGGCTCTGCCGGCTGATGAAGGAGCGCGTGGAGAGCTTGTAATGGTTCAACAGGCAGATGATCACTACCACCATAACAGTTATCACCACGATGATGATGATGATCTGAACGAACTCCAGCTCAGCTACAACAAAGAGAAAAAGCAGAGGGAAATAGGTCAATCACATACAGAAAGTTATTCATCAAAGCAATAATCTGAGAAGCCTGCAAAATTTCATCAAGACTGGAGTAAGGTGTTCACTGCTGGCTACTTTGTGAGGAAAAGTGGGTTCTAAAAACTACAAAAACTCATCTTTTGGCAGTCCAAGTCAATTGGTAAGAGTGGCTGCAGCTAAAACGTTTTGGTGATGCTTCTCTGCAGCCTTCAGGGGTAATCAATTCTTCCACATAACCACCAGATAAGCCTTTTGGGTTATACAATTTAACCAGGGGAAAAAGCCACACAGACACAACACCCACCCCATTTTACTAGCCATCTGCAACACCAGCAGAGTCCAGAGGGCTCCACAAGCTTGAAAGTAGAGACCAAGGATAGAGAAACCAGGACACTACCTACTAAACTAGCCTCAATTTTTTTCTTTTATGAGCTAAATAGCATGAAAGCAATCTAAAACCAAGAAAAACTTTTTTACTATAGAAAAAGACACTGTATGTAGAATAAATTACTTCCTTCTCTCCAGTTAAATTAAAGTTAACTTTTCTAGGGCATTCCCATTCAGATAAAAATCTAGAAAGACCTGGTACTCTAAAACAGGATATGTTCCACTATGGTTAAAAATGAAACCAGGGCCTTGGCTGTTGCAAGAGATACAATTAACTCCAGAGTCCCCCACCTTATCTGAAGTCCTGCCTATACCACAAGCATTAAGAATATTTGGCAATGAGTCACTCCTGCCCCCTTTTGTGGGGCAGCAAGGATGAGCAACATGTGGGGAGAAACTGCTCTTTAGTCACACAGTCACTGGGACTTCTACAGAAGCTGCATTGCTCACAGGGGATGCTCATCCTGAAAGACAACTCCAGTCAATGGGAGGAGGTCTTGGGTTGCAGGGCTGCTAGAGAAAGCAAAGCAGCAGCACGAGTTGCTCGGATTCAGCACTTTCCAAAAATGGCACTACTTCTGGGCACCAGACATTACATGTCTGTTTTTAAAAAGCTAACAAGGAAAGAATGATAATAAAATACAAACATACAAAGCAAACATGGTAGAAAACAACTGTTGTCCCCATCCTCTCTCATCCCTTTCATCTGTGGCCACCCTCAGCCTCCTGTGTAACAGCAGCTCCCTTGTGCAAACACAACTACAAAGCCGAGCCAGAAAAATGCTGTCCCACTGCAGGTTGTTCTGGATTTCCCACGAGAACTAAAGGAACCCCAAAGCTGCTTCAACACCCCAAGATCTGCTGCAAACGAAACCTCAGACTCCAGGAGCTGCAAGCACATTGGTGTCCACTGCAGGCTGGTGCCAAGCTCCAGATGCTTGTCACAAGTCTCACCACCATCTCAGTGCTGAAGTCAGTTGCTCACTAGGAGCAACTAAACCTATTTAAGGCCAAGGAAAGAATAAAGGGCAACATACAACTATCATTTAATTTCTCATTGCTGTTAAGTATCATCCACTCATTAAGACCATCAACATTTACAAAAAAAAAGATGTGATTAGCCAGAGCTTTGCTCCACTCTTGCTGCCAATCCCACATGCAGTGCAGCCACAGCAATAGCTGCTTTTTTTCCCCTCTCTTGAGTCATTGGAAGCTGACGATGTCAGCACCAAAAGATCAAAAAGCAGGAAGCACAGAATTAATTAAAAGACAAACCCACCAAACCCATGTTTAAGTAAGAAGTCAGTTTTTCTTGGCTCAGAAGCCCAGAATACAGACTTGACACTCTTGACAACGGCTGCAATTCAGATTCTGTGGCTACCAAAAGGCTTTCTACTACAGGGCTTCTTTACCCCAAACATTTTTTGTGTGCATGAGGGGGGTACCCATGCAACACTTTAGACTGGAAATAGAGAGACTGTTGCTTAAGGGCAACATGCACAACAAGCAATGTTGATTTAGGCTTTCCTAGAATGCAAAGATCACTGGAATGACATGTTGCTTCTCTATCTGCCAAGGGCAGAGCCTTCTAAATTTATCAAGGCCCCAGCATTTCCGTGGCAGGGACGGTACCTCTCCTTTGGTTTGCTCTCAGAGCAGGTCCCTTGGGTGGGGAATCGTTTGGAAGTGTTTGGATAAAACAGGATCATACAGGATAAAACAGGTATGAGCACACATCATTTTCCAAGCCTGGCTTTACAGTCTAGACACCAAAACACAACAAAACGTCCTACTGATGTTCAAAGTGGATTTCCCCACTAGAAGTGGAGGGAAAGGAAAGAGGAAGGTAAATTTTAATCTCTTCTTCCTCCTGACCGGCCGTCCTGCTTCGTACGAGGTTATCAACAGGAAAAAGCAAAGCCTCGAGATCAGCAGCCCCTATTCACCAGTGCCCCTCAAGGTAATTTAGAGTTTCTGGCGGCTCCAGGTAATTTAGGCAGTTTCTGGTGGCTGACACGCAGCGGGTGACTCGGGCCCCCTCCTGGCCCCCTGCCCCACACGTGCTGGGCACCGAGGGTCTCACTGCCGCACCACCACCCGCCCGGCGGGCACCTCCTCCTGCCCGGGTGCCCCAGAAATTAACCGGGGGAGAAGCTTTGGGAAGAGACTGACACGCTTTTACCTCCCAGGTCTCTGCCGCGCTCCCCTCTAACTGCTCCTTCGAGCCCAGAACACAGTGTTTGTAACGCCTCTTCCCTAGCGGAGCACTGCTCACACTAAACGCGAACACAAAACAGGCGCCTACAGACCGGCTGCAAACGCCTCCGGGGAAGAGCACGAACACAGGGAACCACTCCTGACCCTACCGACGGGGAGAGCACCGGGACCAGCACCCGAAACCCGCCCTGCAGACGGACTGTGCCGGGGCAGGGCAGCCCCCGCCGCGCCCCGAGGCTCCGCTCCGGGCACGCCGGACGGACAGACGGACGGACGGGTACCTCTTTCCCACAACAGGT